TAGAAAGCCTTGGGAAGTATTGCCATTTTCACGATGTTGATCTTTCCAATCCAGGTGCATGGGAGTTTTTGCCACTTAGAAAGTTTTGATTTCCTTTTTCAAGTTTTTAAAGTTTTCATCATAGAGGTCCTTCACTAATTTGGTTAATTCCTAGGTATTTTATTTTTTGTGGGGGTATTACAAATGGAGTTGCTTTCCTAATTTCAGCCATACTTTTCTCATTGTTGGCATACAGAAAAGCCATTGATATTTGAGGGTTAATTTTATACCCTGCTACTTTGCCAAAGTTTTGAATCAGCTTGAGTAATTTGGGAGTGCAGTCTATGGGATTCTTTAAATACAAGATCATGTCATCTGCAAAGAGGGAGAGTTTTACTTCTTCTTTCCCTATTTGGATCTCCTTTATGTTTGCATCTTGTCTTATTGCTGTAGCTAGGCATTCTAATACTAGATTGAAGAGAAGTGAAGAGAGTGGACATCCTTGTCTTGTTCCTGAGTTAAGATGAAATGGCTTTAGTTTTTCACCATTAAGTATAATGCTGGCTGTAGGTTTGTCATATACAGCCTTTATTGTTTTGAGGAATGTTCCATGGATTCCTAAAGGGGTGTTAGATCTTGTCAAATGCTTTTTCTGCATCTATTGAGATAACCATGTGGTTCTTATCCTTGCTCCTGTTGATGTGATGAATTATATTAATTGATTTGCGTATATTGAACCAGCTTTGCATCCCTGAAATGTATCCTGTTTGATCGTGGTGTATGAGTTTTTAGATGGATTGTTGAAGTTGATTGGCCAAAATTTTGTTGAGAACTTTTGCATCAGTGTTCATCAAAGAAATGGGTCTATAGTTCTCTTTTAAAGGGTAATTTTTATGAACCTTCTCAAGACAGTCTGTTCTGGATCCAAAGAATTTTTTTGTGTTTTTAAAAAATTTTTAATGACTATTATTCTGACCATTATTACTTATTCGGTTTACTTTGAGTTTATTACTTTTCTAATTACAAGATTTTCTTTCTTTCCTAATATAGGAAATTAATGCCAAAATTTTTCCTGTAAACACTATTCTAGCTGCATCACACACAAATGTTACACATTATGGTGTGTGTGTGTGTGTGTGTGTGTGTGTGTGTCTGTGTCTGTGTCTGTGTGTGTGTGTGTGTGTGTCTGTGTCTGTGCGTTTGGGTGTGCTGGTCCTAGGGCTTGAACTTCTGGGCCTGGTCACTGTCTCTGAGCTTTTCTGCTCAAGTCTAGTACTCTACCCCTTGAGCCATATCTTCACTTCTGGCCTTTTGGTGGTTAATTGGAGATAAGAGTCTCACAAACGTTTCTGCTGAGGCTGACTTCAAATGTTCGTCCTCAAATCTCAGCCTCCTGAGTAGATATGATTACAGTCAGGAGACACCAAAAACCTACTGTTTTGCTTTGGCCTACATGCCGGAGCTTGACAACCCTTGACATAAGAATTTAAAAATGCATACTTAGCTTTCAGTCATGGGGCTTGAACTCAGGACTTGTGCACTTTCCCTGAGCTTCTTCACTCAAGTCTAGCACTCTACCACTTTGAGCCACAGTGCTACTTCCAGCTTTCTGGTGCTTAATTAGAGAATTGAATCTCATATACTTCCTGTAGGCTGGCTTTGAACTGTGATCCTCAGATCTCAGCCTCTTGAGTAACTAGCCACAAGTACCCAGCTTGTGCCACTTTTTATGACACCTCTGCAATGATTTCTACAATCTTTCCAATCATTTTTCTCACATACAGAAGGGATCAATTTTTCCTCTGAATCTTTTCATTTAATTTTTTTCTTAGTAAATCTCATAGCCCAGGCCATGAGATTCTCCAGAATTACCTGTCAAGTGCTAGAAATATGTGTATGTCTCACCAGGTCCTGTTGTCTCTGGCTGTTTTCAAAATTGTTTTGTTGTCTTTAGTTTGAGGCATGAATTTCTTTTGATTTACTCATGTTTGGATTTTCTCAACCTTAAATAGATATGTTTATAAAATTTAAAGTTTTTCTTCTGTTAATTCTTCAGAAAAAATTTACCATCAGTAGACTAGCCTTTCTTTCTATGGTTGTGAAAATTCAAATATTCAACCATTTTTATCGGCTCACAAATATCTAAAACTATGTTATATTTCATTTTTTTCAGAATGGATAATATGTACTGGTTAATCTTAAACTCACTTGTCCTGTCCTTAGTCATCTTCCTTCCACTATTATATCCATTGGTGATGTTTTCGTAATATTTCAGTTTTAAAATTTCTAT